CAATATAAACCTTCCACCAAAACAACTACTGATAGGACGATTCATTCTTTTAAAATGTTTTTACATATTTTCTGGTGATACTTATACACAATCACGATACGATTATTGTGTATAGTGTTCCATTGAGACTACAAGTGCAACTGTAAATAAAGTACTGAACGTCAACAACCATACATGTACGTGTTTTCTAAGTCTATTCTTAAACACATTTTAAAAACCGGAGGAAGGTTACGGCATACAGTTGTCTCGCCATTAAGTGCCCATTGACATAAGGATTTCACAATACAACTACAATGTACCTACTTAGTCATTGGCTGTGTCCGCCCACTTCTACACGTCTACATGTGTATATATTATTTCATTGGTCATGCGTTTGTATCAAGAAACACTACATCTACGCATGCGCGAACTATAGTATATGTTCACTGAAAAACCGGAAAATGGTATATTAGTACCAGTCTTCAACAGAGGTATGTGCATTACATTTATACTGATGTAGACGGAATGACAGTTGTTTTGTTGACAGAATTTGAACAATATGAAATGGTGTATTTTAGTATTATTAAGCATCATGAGCCAATCAGCTACAAATACGTGATCTCAAAATAACTGTTTTACATGACGGTTTTCCCATTGCTTGCATATCAATTGTAGTATATTTAATATATGAATTAAGTATTATTTATTTATATCAAGAGGGGGGTAATTGTTATTTTTTCTCGATTTTATCAACAGAACGCAAATTACCGGATTTATAAAATAATCTCATATACAGTTCATCATATTTATTCATAAGGAAACAACACATGCCAAAAACTTCTTTAAGTCTTTAAATTTTTACCTTAACGTTATATATAGGTACCTGGATACCATGAATAGTACTTTGGCTTATCATATTCCTTGAAGGACATTTCTCATGTAACTGCTGATAATATAAACAAACTAATTTATTATTTTTTTGTTTTTGTTTGTTTGTTTGTTTGGGTTTTTTTTTTTTTTTGTTTGTTTCGATTTTTTTACTTTTTGGATGTTTTGGGGTTTCATTGTAGAAGAAAATTCCTTTCGGTAAATATCTATAATATTTTTGTAGATTTTTTAAATGCATTTGATAAATACACTTTGTTTCATGTGAATTACAAAAATTGAGTTCTGCTGTATCAAGCTGTTGTATAAGCGATCTTCTTCTCATAAGAAATGTAGTACATCATCATATGAATTTTTGTACGTTTACAATACCTCTCATGACGATTATCAAATGTATTATCATTAAGACGTTGAAAGATATTTCAAAAAACATAAACAAACGTCAGCCTCACAAGATGGCCACATATTATCATACCATAACTTCAGCTAGAACATACTGTAATCCCACTTAAACCTTATTTCGAAACTGGTCATCTTGATATTACTTTTAAAGGGTATCACTTGGGTAAGTATATGGTATTTATGACATTTCAAACTAACAATGCTTGTTTACATTCATATTGATTGTATATCTTATGACAGGATCGAATTTAAATAATTAAGGGGAACAAAAATTTGCTATTATACCTAGTTATTTCAAATTGTAAGCAATATAACTACGAATCATTATGTCATCATAAACACATTGACAAGTTTATTTCATAAAAGTATTTCATTAATATATACGTATGATATTTCAACCAACAACACTCATTTGGGTTAAATATTGATTGATAAATACAAATTCATGTTAATTTGGGATGGAATTTTGTTAGTTTTTAAAAATAATTTTATTGTAAAAGACATTAAAGAAGGCATTTTTATTGTTAAGCATTAATAAACTAAACATTGTTACATCATGTTCATGTTAGGAATAAGAGTTGTTTCCCTTCGTACATCTGTATTTAATAGGGTAGTATATATTATGTTCACTCTACCTCAAAAATAAGGTGAACACTTGTCACTGCAGCTACCTTTATGAATGCAAAGTGTGTAAAGTGTGACCGTGTTAATTATACCTACCCGCCACGTCTATGGATCCCTCTCCCTCCACATAACAAGCCATCCCCTTGAGACCTGAGTCACTGATAACTAAATGCTGATGTTTATACTATGTGTCTAATTTATCCATTGAATTATAAATAATAGTGATAAATTCGAGAAATTCAGTGCAAGTAGTAATATTATAATAGACTGTTGTAATAAGTAAAGAACTGTTAATGAACTATGTCAACCTATGTCTCACCAATTAGAGTTATGGTTTTCATGTGTCATATTAATATCACAAATTCTTAGGTATTGCTTTTGTCACTGACATGGAAAACATTTTCCCCAATGTTTTACATCTGCTAACAAAAAAATAAATTCACAGAAAACTTTTCTATTATTTAATATGGATACTTCTGATATAAATCACAAAGAGCTACTTTAATTATTTGCATTCCAGTAATAAACATTCATGAAAAATGATGTTGAGCATTATGTTTTTTTACATTATCATCGATCAGTATAGTTTCCTCATTGTAAACTGTACAATTTATACAAAAGGTTTAACCAGAGACATAAAATACAGATATCACACGTCCCTGATTTAATCAGGTCAGACTATGATGATGAATCACGACTCATTTATATGTTATATGTTCTTAGCCTCAATAAGAAACTCTTGCTCAACGTGTTATCGAAAAAAGGACAAAAACGTATCATGGAGACAAAATCGTTGAATTATCTTGACTTAATAATTACATTTTAGTGCATATTGAATACCCTTTTCGTTGCAAAGTAACATCACAAACAAAATGGTATTTGTAGGGGTTCGCAATGCATTTTGGGATAGTAAATACCGGGGACCAATCCCTGTTGTTTCATCATGGATATAAATAGAAGCAAACATACTTGTAACAATCATTTGGATATCTGATTTCGAATCACAGAGTAAGTAAACCACAAACAGTTTTATACAATCATGTCAATTTTTAATGCATTTGATATAAATCTATAGAAATCATTCCAGACAGGTATAAGTGCATAATATAAACTTATATATTAGCCAAACACAACACACTGATATAAACTGTTTATGTATCTGGTATAGTTATACACCGTAAACAATGTATTTCTTAACATCGATTAAGATGATGGAAATATAAATAGAATATGGACGACTACCCATATCTAATTAATTTTAAACATTCCATTGGTAATCATACACACATCATTACTTTCCATTGAGAATGTGTTGATTCTGAATAGCTCTTTTGTGATCTGAACTTGAAAAAGAACAAAGAATCAATTATCAGATTCCATGTTATCATTTTGAGACCTTTGAAAACAAAAATCGAAGAAATTCGGCCCGATCAATACTTAATATTTCCTATAATTTCAATTTTAGAAAATGCTGATATTGTTTGGGATAAATTTCAATATTTCTATCTTGAAGTAGGAAAGATAATAACCAGTTAACGTGTTGTATCGGCAACATCCTGATTTGCCCACTTTTTAAAATAACATGGGCAGAGAAAGGTTATTAGAAGGACTATAGTCTATTTCATATCAATTTTCCTACTGTTTTTACTGTGATAACCATTGTTTTTAGCCCATGTCGGACGATAGTATATTACATTATAGGAATTTTCTAAAGAAATGAATTAAAAAAACAAAGTTTTACATACTGGTTTTCTACATATTAAGGCGACTCAGAAAATAATGTAAAAAGAAAGTGAATATTTTTGAATATTATATCATATTTAATTTATTAATTTATTTGTGTTAAAAAAATTAATTCAACTTATGACATACCTTAATTTAAAAGAATAGTTAAATAGTGGTGCTGAAATAATATGTTGTCCTTTATGAAAACAAAATCTTCATCTCATATTTAATTTTTTATGCTTAAATTGCCAAGTAATGGTATTCCCAACGAAGTTCAGCATATATTTGTTTAAGAACCATCTTCCTTGATATTATTAAAGTGTTGTGCTCCTGAAGTAATACAGTCGATATACATTCACTGCTATCTACGAGACAATTATCTACTACTACCAACTCTATGACAACTATCCACTAATACCCACCTCAAGACAACTATTTACCACTACCAACTCCATGACAACTACTCAATACTATCCACTCAAGGACAACTACAGCATGGCTAATGCTCTGTAAATGACCAAAAAGCTTAGAAATAAGTATTGTAGACGAATTCTTGCACATGATAGTTACATGTGGAATATGCAAAACGCATCCCCACTTTTTCAATTGAATGAATTTCTCAAAAGGTGTTTACTATAATGTGCAATTAGCTGCACTGCACCTACCTGTTTCATGTGTATGTATTTGTATTGTATATCAAGAAATATATGCTATGTATTTATATTGATGTTATATTATTTTATGTAAGAAAGTAATGTAAAATTATATGTAATGCGTAAATGAAATGTAATAGTATTGGATATATTACATGAAAACAAATAATGAATGTGTTTTATGAAATGTAATATTATTGGTTATATTACATGTTAACAAATAATGAATATGTTTCATGAAATGTAGTATTATTGGATGTATAGCATGTTAACAGATAACAAATGTGTATCATGAAATATTTTATTATTGGATGTATCACATGTTAGCAAATAAGAAATGTGTTTTATGAAATGTGATATTATTGGATATATTACATGTTAACAAATAATTAATATGTTTCATGAAATATAATATTATTGGATGTATAACATGTAAAAAAAAATATAAATATTTTTCATGAAATATTATATTATTGGATGTATCACATGTTAGCAAATTATAAATGTGTACCATAAAATGTAATATGATTGTATGTGTATCAAATCAAATGATTTAACATGACGCAACCATTTTGAATGCTCGGATTAGTAAAAAAATCTTTAATGAACCCTGTTGGTTATGTGTAGTATCATGATTATTTCCCCCTTAACTGCAAGCAGTTTTGTAGATGTTTTGAAGCGAAGTCCAAGAGAGTTGTTTCCCTTTAATCATTTACATTAGCAAGGTACCAAATAATGAAGATTAAAACATCTATGTGTTGATCACAGGACTTGTTGGCCACATAAATTAGATTGGAAACTCTTTAACCCAAAAATGACCGTTACTTTACAAATGAAAATCCCCAATTTGTATCTTAAATACACGTGTGCCATCGTATGTCTGTTGTAAGTAAAGCCCAAAAGAGTTCCGAATAAATTGTTAGTCGTCTCTATTATTAGGTACATCTGTTTTGATCATCACGTTATTTTCCAGTTGATGCTGGTTCTAGAAGGTACGTCAACACACTTCTAAGAAACTGCAAGGTAAGTTCATTTTAGAAGTCTTCACATTGTGTATTCCATAAATACTATTATCAGGACAAGTTTTTGTGAAAATACCCACTTGTACCACATGTTTGTTTATTGATTGCCGGGTTTTAAAAACACCACGAAACGTCACTGGAGAACCAGCTAACATTTAAATGGTTGTACTTGTTTTTTTCTCAATTATTATTTATGAATGATTATTGTATCTTCATGGTGATATTAGACTACTTGACACTTGTTTTTTGTTTTTGTGGTATCCGCATAAAAAAGCATTTATATGAGCTTCATTTATGCGCAGGAGACTAAATCTATTTTAAGAAGGAAAACACATTTTCTATTTATAGTTAACATCAAACTTTTGTAATCAATATATGGTTGCTATAAGGCTTATCACTTTAGAAATCTCTATCAGTCTTTCTGTATATGAATACTCTGCATGATATTTTGTCAGAATGTGATTTTCGGATATTTATATCGACATTTTGATATTGATCGGACCATTATGAACAAGAGGTACAGGGGCCTAACCGGTCACCTGGGTGAACTCACCACCGGAAACATATGTTATTTGGTTAGGGACAGGGAAATTTTAATCTAAGACCCTTCCCATCCATGAAGACATTTAATTCTACCATAACTAGGTTTCGATCATTATTATCATTTTTGGCCACGCCCCACAGGTCCTAGTGGCAGGGAATATGTAATTCACAATTCTGGCTCATCTTTGGTCATGGAAAGATATGAAGTGGATTATATGATACTTAGATAAAGGTTTTAATAAACAATAGATGAAATCTTAACAATTAAATACAATTTTGAATATCCTCACCCGATTAGAAATGTTGATAAAATGTTTCGTATATCTCTTTCAGGATGCTTCCTTGTAGTCTTAAGCAGTTCCCATACGACCCATTCAAACAATACTGCACAAGGGATGGACTCGTCCGTTCTTGTGACCCATCAATGTGTAAGCTGGGAGAGAAGGAGTGGGAAAGAATGGCCTGTAGTCTCTATTGTGGAGATTATTCTGGTATTTATCAAATGATACAATATGTCCATTTTCAGACCTTATCGTGAAATAGGTATTACGTATTATATGTCCATTCACTTTTTCACGAAGCATATGAGGCGAAATTTTAGCACTATTCAAATGTTTTAGAATATAATTGTCTTCTATAAGTATGCTTCAAGTTTCCGTTTTATTTCAATGTAGATTTTTGTAGTAAAATCATTTAGAGTATATTTAAACCGCATTTCAGATTTATATCAAAAGTTTTTCGTATTTCTATGACTCTCATGTGAAGCAGAGAAGTTGCTAACACAAAACTCTATAGATATTATATGAAACGCTTGGCTAATGCTGGGATATCGGTTAGTATTACGTGTATCATTTACCTTTTTCATTAAAGGAGAAAAAGATGGGAACGTGCAAATATGGATGATCGCACCAATAGCAGTTGGTGTGATATGTGTAGTGATAATAATAATTCTGTCAGTGGTAATTAAACGCCTCTGGCCCAGAAAACAAAACAAGAAGTTTGAACAAAGTGACTCAGAAGAGACGAAAGTTTTCATAGGGTAAGTTCTGCTTGATCTTAGATAATCATTAAACTGACACAGTAGTAAATCACGAAACATTTATACTTGTAATTCACATCTTTACTTTAAGATATCAATTAAAAAGGAGGTCGTGAATGGTTTTTCATAAACTTTAAAACGATATGGCAAAAATTAAACTCTTATGTGGTATCATTGAAACCTATATCATATGATAATTAATGGCGTATATATATCAAGTATATAAGAGGTTTGATTTCTACTATGAAATAAATCCAATAGTGATCTCATTTGTGCGATGTTAACCTAGAATGTGTTTGATGCTCGTTAGTTTGCCTGTTGTCTCCATTGGTTTATTTCTTGTTCTCATTGGAGAAAGTGACATGACCTACTTGGATTGATAAACGTTTACATGGTGGGTGTCATCTATGAAACAAACACCTGGTTTTATTCTCCCTGTACTTTTTCATGAGTCTCCGAGTAAATAATTCTTTTGTTCATGTTTTGCTATAGTTTTATTGACTTTGAGTTTGGATTATGAAAATGTTGAAATGTTGGTATTTTCTTGGTTTTTTAACAGTGCATCGTCCGAGCTTGACAGTGCTGTAGGATCTGATGTATCCCACAAAACAGGTATATTTAACTGTTACTATTGTTTAAACATGTTGCATTTAATCAATACAATTGAATGTATACTTATTATAATCATTAATGGGCTGAAATTAACAATAACAAGAGAACATGATTTATATCCATAATGATAAACAATGTTTTTGTTTCTCTTAATCACTTAAACTCCGACTGTTCAAATATTATCACAGTGTAAAGACTTGAACTGATGTTTATAAATCATATTTGAACATGTCAATTGTGATGCCCTCACAATAATGTGAACTTATTTGGTAATTCAGGAAGTGGACACATCTCGTGGATATCTCCACAAAATAACCACGTGGACCCTCATACACAGAGAGACTCGAGTGTAGCAATGGCAATAACATCCGGAAATAAAGAAATAAGGGGCTGTCATGGCGACGACACCCTAATAAAGCAACAGAATATGTCCTTGTGATATCTGGACTCTTTAAGTACGAATGTGAATGACTGATAATTCAGATATATGTATCTTCATTCAATCATACATCATATGATGGAATTCGCTTTTAGTAGTAATTGTCATTAACAATATTGATTGACATCGGCATTTCATTGTTTTCCTATATCTTTGTACTGACATCATCATTTGTATTTAACCATCTTTTTGAGCTAATATTTTTATGTTGTTGGGATAATATGGGAAAACGTAAGTTTCAAATATAATGACAGGCCTTGATACCTAAGAATACGATATTAAATGTACTTTCAGTTTGACTGAAAGTGGTGTATGATTAATGATTTGTAGAAAACGCAGAATTATCTTAGGAAGCATCAAATCTATGAATACATCCATTGATGTATAATGTGTAAATATAAATGTTTGGTGCTATTTTCGAACGTCCATCTATTAACTATCTGCTTATCATAGGAGATGTCTTCAATCATAACTATGTATATGTTGTTTTTGTAACTCTCTCTCTCTCTCTGTTTATGATTGTATATATATGTATCTATAACAATAGGCCATCATCAACATTTATATTAAATACTAATTACTTGGAACGGGCTTTGTGTGCCCAATCCTTTATGTATATTTATATGCAATAAGATATGTTTAAATAAAAAAATAACTGTGTATGCTAATTTTTACTTTTGATAAGGAGCTATGCAGCAAGTTAGTATGTACTGAGGATGTACACAATTTACAATTTTAGAATATTAACTTGAGGTTCTAAATAAAAATGTGTGTTTTGAATGTAATAGTTTCATTAGTATAACATGACAATTCTCTAATCTATAAACAAAGTCGTCCATTGTTTCATGTTTGTATTTGCTTAATTTTAAACGTGTAAATGAGTGTACTAATATGTCACATTTCACTACTACACACAAACTTTGACTAGAATTCTGCTTAATTCATAAGTTTCATTATTATATGTTACTTGCTTGCTTCAATAAACTTTATTAATCATATTTTTCATTTATATATGATTTACAATATAACAATACTATTTGATTTGAATTATAAGTGTGTATATTGATTGGGCAAAATATGTAAAGAAAGCCATAGATAACATAGATTAATGAGTTATTAGCAGCTAATTATATTTTCAGGATTGATTATAAACTGTCTGTTCTGTAGGTACTGTATGTAAAATCATAGATAAACCAAATACAAAAATGTGTAAATTAGAATGCGTTACGTGCCGATCAAATTACATGTAAACAGCATGTAGAAATTACCGTACAATATACATGTTTTCAGAATTAGCTAGAGTATGAACTACAAAGTATGCATACTAAACATTAGCAACAACAGGTTGATCCTTAAACTTTGATTCATATCTAGGTCACGCTATATATGGAAGAATTCGTTTAAACAAAAATGTCTAGATAGCTCTTTCCGTGTGTTCCGATTACAGTTAATATTAAAACATCGGATAACAAGAAGAATAAAACATGGTTAATGAAGACGATAATAACATAAAAGAGAAATATGATCGGCAAATATCCTTACCTCGCTTTGAAATTGCCTACAGGTGACGCGCGCACTTTGTTCCCAACATTCGATAATCCTTTGCATTAACATAATTGATATAACATACATTTTCATCATTTTTGAAAAAACACACTAGGTTATACCATCCACTAGTAAGTCGTGTATGCAGATCACAGAGTATTTCCAATTACAACATTTGATTTTGTCATGTTTGCATGCCATGTCACAAATCTGAATTAAGGAAGCTTAACCCAGAAATACTATCTGCTCTCTGAAAAGGCAGCGGAAATTGAAACTGAAACTAAATTTTTTGTTTCGGAAACCGTTTAAGTAGTCTTCTTGAATAAATTTTGGACTTTGAGCAAGACTTCATTTGCAGTTCTAAGAGACTTTATAAAAGAGCATCAATATAAATCAAGACAAACATTACCTTGACCAAATCGCTGACATTACTGACTCCATATCAATCGTTACCACGATCAGTCTGCAAAAGATCAGAAGAAAAACATATTTCCAAGAAAATAACGAAAGTATTTTCCCCCCGATCGTCGATGCAACATAGATTCATTGTGAAATAAAATACTGATGAAGTAAAGAATTGATATGTAGGAAAGCAAATGCTAGCAGAATATCATAGTGATTAACTTATACTAAATACTATGTAATTTTCTATACATTACTTCATATAACGTTCTGGAGACAAATCTGAACAAAATCATACATAAAGTAGAATTATCAATTAATGTAGATGTGCGTTCACCTCGAGTAATCCTTTCCGAGTAATATGACTTTTATTACTGAATGCTGACTATAGATACTTAGTCGTCAGATTAGTCTGGTTTGGCTGTGATAACAATAAATTAGTTACACCCTTGGTTCGCATATGCTATCCTGTTAATAGAATTTGGAGTCATGAAATAACATTTCATCATAATGATCTTTCACAGCTTCAGTTGTCAATGATATATGTAACATTGATGTTTTATAATTCTATAATCTTGTGTGTATATATAAGCGCCATTTGATGGCAAAATGTATTAATTAAATCAGGCGACGCTTGCAAACTAAAATCTTATCATCCTGTCTGAGCAGGCGCAGATTAGACATGTACAATTTGTTAGAGGGAAAACTTCATACTTTTAACATTGAACAATGAATGGGGTTTATCATGGAAATTGTATGAAGATATGTAGGAACGTGTTTGCTTTGATGATCTACGCACTGGTCGTGATAAAGATTATTGTATCACATTGATTACAATATGGTTTACTTATTCATAAAACAAACAGAAAATTAGCATGTCATGCTGCACTTGTAATGTAGCATACAACACAGAATATATGTGTGACATTCATGACACATTATATTATTTCTTTACGAATTCAAAATAGACAGTACCTTAGTAAAACACCGACAGGTACAACGTTCACGTCATGAATCTACGAAGATGAAACGCATTGTGCATATTTGACAAACACCTGGTAATTGTCTGCTTTCTACCCTCTGTAGATAACTTTTTGGTTCAGTTACACACGTTCTTGAAGAAAACAGCTTCCATATTACCACCATAGTAAGGCAGCCGATCTATGTTTTCTGCTTCAGATCGATACATGTTGTGAACCAGAGCCAAATGAAGCACATATGGATGATAAAAATGGTATTGCGTCATTCTAATGTAGTTCCAGGAACAGAAATTGCAAACTAATATAGAACCATGTAATCCTGTAGAACCATATTTAATGCATGATAGATATGTTATGTGATAAAAAATCATAATTGGTCCTAATGCCAATGTGTTATTAATATAACCATATTTACATATAATTCAGTGTAGTGTGCAGTTCAGGAATAAGTGGCAAAATATCAACACTTAGAATATACGTTCTGCTTATCTCCTCACCATATATTTGTTTAAAAAATATACAGTGCAATATAATATGGTCGGTTGAAGTTATTTTACTGAAACGACTGTTTTGTGTATAGTCTTTGTGATATCAAATTTCTTTCAACATGAATCATAAAAAAGAAATCCTTCAAACATGTATGTCATCATGAAATAATATAAAATTTACAAATCAATAAATCGATATATCATTCGCAGAATCTTACCTCAGATAATTGGAAACGTGGAGGTTATATTTGATGCATGTTATGTTCTTTCTGCGTAGTGTCTGGCCTTGTTTAATATACACCTGCCTGTATGATTTCAGAAAGCACATAATGTATTCAGAACCTAAATATAGAAACTAAACAACACGGTTTGATAAGACAACAATCACCACAATGTTATTGGGGCAGTTTTACGATGCAAATATCACCGATGCAGCTTAGTTTGTAGCAACGATATAGATGACTGTATGTATAACACTGGTTTAATATTATACTGAACAATACTGATATTGTTTTTGTCTGTTACATTCCAGTCATCAGTTCAGAATGCAGTGTACGATAGCATTTTCAGGAACTAGTACATCGTTTTGATGATTTCTGTATGGTATCTGCTAGATGTACTCGGATTTTCGTAAATGCAATTTGTGAAATTTCATGACAACACATATTAAAAGATATTCTTTCCTATATTTTAATCTGTTAAATGTGCATATGGTTACTTAATTTCCATTCCAGCATAAAACGAATTCTTCCGTGTCAACGGAAACCCATATCGATGGGCTTAGGGCAAAACATGCAGAAAATAACGTTTTTCATTTAGGTCCATATAAAAGTAAAGGAGGATAAGACTAGCGTATAAGAAGCGTATGTAACATTAGCTGTAGATCAACAAAGACTGTTGACCATTTGTAAGTTAATATCTGATCGCTTACTTTAACATCACCTAGAAATAGTGCAGATGTAAATTTCTAACTATACATTCGTATTTCATACTAAATTGCTTTATAAAATGACTGTCTTAAAATAACTTATAATGGTTCAGCAGTAAGGCATTAGACTCTGGCAAAGAAATAAAAGTATTTGAAAGGGTTTGGCGTAGAGTAATATTGCATAACTTATAGAAAATTGAAATATCTTTATTTCTACTAAAATGGTTCGAAACTACTCAACGAATAGAAAACGATGAATCATTATCAATGATATTCATTCTGATTGGGCAGAAATTAAAGCCGTGGTTTCTCAGGGTTCAATAATTGGATCTTTATTGTTTTAAATCTATGTTAATGACATTGTCAACGATATAAAATATTTCATTAACTTATTTGCTGATGACACTTTTATGTACATGATCACTGATAACGCATTAAAAGCAAACAACAGGGTAGAGTCTACAAAACAATACTGAATGGTTTAAGACTGGACAGTCGATTTTAATTCTAAAAAACGGAAACATGACTCAATCAACCTTATCTGATCTTACGTATGTGCAATGAAGAAATATCATTTTACATGAACACTCGGGAGATTTTTTCGAACAATTTTGGTTGTGTTGAACATGTCAAACTAATTATTCAGAAAGCAACGACTAGATTAAATGTTATGCAAACTTTAAAATTCAATCTTGACAGGCAAACATTACAAAACCCATACATTTCGTTCATTAGATCATTATTACAATATGAAAATATCGTCTGGGATAGCATTCTTAAAGAACAAATATTTGCAACTAGAAAATGTCGATTTGGAACTTCTGCTAGGATTGTAATAGGTGCTAGCAAACTTAAAAGCTAAGAAAATCTACACAACGAGGCTGGATGGAAAAAGATGATATTGATAGACATCTTCATAAAATGTTAACAATTTCATAAATTGTTTTATCAAAATAGAGCATTTATATAATCTCTGTACTTAATTCAGTTACTGATGTTAATATGCCGGACTTTCTGACCCATCATGTCTCATATCTATTCCTTATAAAACAAATATTTATCTGAAAGCATTTCTTCCATCTGCTGTAAACATTTGCAGTTATCTTCCCTTAACTGTTTGAACTAACCCTTCCATTTCTCATTTAAAGGCCTTTCTTTGATCTACTGATAATCCAAGTCCACCACCATACTACTTCTAAGGAATACGTCTGGGTCAAATCTATGGCGGTGTCATTGAAAACCAAACTCATTATATAATACCTTGACAGATCCATACATTTAGTTTGCCGCATCAGCTATAAATCTCTTAATGTATGGTGATACCTCAACAAGAAAATACTACAATTTTTCAATCCGTCCAACATTACATTCTAAAAACTTTCAGCTTTCAAACTGAAGATTATCCTTATAACAATGTATTTATGCATGTTGTGTTTCATTACTTATATTAGTATGTTTAAAATGTTTTATTTATATGGTCGTTCTCTTCATTTTGCCATTGTGCAAATTTCATACCACAGTATGTCAATAAGTGGCCATTGTTATGATAAATCATTTAAGTGACCAGTTACCTTAAAAGTGCAAGACGTGTCAGGGACGAGGCGGGAAAGTGTTTTATGGGCTTTAATTTGG